AGACAAAGAGAGAGAGAGACAGGGGAGACAGAGAGAGAGAGACAGACAGAGAGAGAGAGAGAGAGTGAGTAACACTGCTTAAAATCCACGCCATGCAAATAAGAAGCTGTACAGTGTTAGCAACAGACATGTGACAGATTATTGGGGCTCTGCAGCAGACAGGAAGTAGGAGCTGATTGGTTCACAGATTGTATTAAAATAGACAGATTACGTTATCGTCATTTTCAGTGATGATACGTTGGAGTGTCTTCCTCAGACAACTACTGGCAGTAAATATCCAGAGAGAATCCATCATATCTTTCAACAAACTTCATGAGCTACAAACATGGGCCCATTACTCACTGTGCAGCTGAAGCAGAGGAGCATCACGTCTCTCTGGTGCTGCTTCACTATTAAGCTCAGCAATACGTCCTCACTTTGACGTGTGGGAGACAAGCAGCTATAACAGTGTCTGCAGAGTCGAGGGGAAGCTTTGAGGACTTCTAAGAGACGCCAACGATTCAGTTTTTATACTTTAACGGTAGAAATGTTGTCAGAAGAAGAAGCACAGGGACACCTGGGTCCCCCTTCATCTGCATGCAAAACAATGATCCAGGAAGGACTCCCACATAAGATAACTGGCGGTCTCTGGGTCATAATTAAGCCCAAAATATTCAAAGACAGGTTTATAAAGTGGAGGAGGTTCACTTAACCTCCAATAAACAATCATTAATGACAACTTTAGAATCAGAACCAGAGAAGACCCAAAGACCACAGACCCACAGACTACAGACCACAGACCACAGACCAACAGACCACAGACCCACAGACCACAGACCCAAAGACCACAGACCCAAAGACTACAGAGCCCACAGACCACAGACCCACAGACCACAGACCCACAGACTACAGACCCAAAGACTACAGACCACAGACCCAAAGACCACAGACCCACAGACTACAGAGCCCACAGACCACAGACCCAAAGACTACAGACCCACAGACCACAGACCCAAAGACTACAGACCCACAGACCCACAGACCACAGACCCAAAGACTACAGACCCACAGACCACAGACCCAAAGACTACAGACCCAAAGACCCAAAGACCACAGACCCAAAGACCACAGACCCAAAGACCACAGACCCAAAGACCACAGACCCAAAGACTACAGAGCCCAAAGACTACAGAGCCCAAACACCATCAGAGGACAGGTTCACCTGAGTCTGACATGCAGACAGAAGACACTGAAGAAGCAGAATCAGGATTAAGGGTTAAAGATGTTGGTTAGTTAGTGAAGTCCAGCTGAGGACACAGGTGAGGAGGACACAGGTGAGGACACAAGTGAGAGTCCACCTGAGAGAAAACCACTAAAGGTGAAGACATGCTAAACCAGATCCTGTGTTCGGCCCTTTAAGTGGCTGTAAATGTCCATGACAGACATTGTTGACGTGAATAATTGAACACCAACAATGACGAACCAGAAGTCCAGAGAAGACTGAAAGCTCAGGCAGCGTGTGTGTGTGTTTTCTCTCTTTTCTAAGAATGTGCACAACCTCAGCAAATATTTGAATCCTGTACATTCGAATGTCAATGGATTCAAATAAAGCATTTAAAACGCTGTAGATATCGTCAGAGTATCACAGCAGATTGTGAAATAGTCAAGAGATGAAATCTATTGGTTTCACGTACAGAGACACAAAATGTCTGTTTTTCGTGTCGCTCAGCATGAAATAAAGTCAATTAGGATCCTAATTGAAGGCGGAGACACAAGTTCAATGCATCCACGTGACTATTAGTGGTTTAGTTGCCTAACTCGTGTCCCTGTACACTAAACCACTAGCTTTGCATGTAAAGACTAATTCCCAGTCTGTAGGTATAACCCCCCCCCCCCCCCCGTACCTGCTCTTTCTCCCTCTGGATGGCGCTCTCCAGCTCGTCCAGCTTGTGCTGCAGCTGAGTGATGATGTCCGTCTCAGCCTCGATCTGGTCGAGCTCCGCCTGCCTCTCGCCCTGAAGCAAGGCACGCTCCATCTCTGCCTGGAAGAGAGGACCGGACAGTGAGCACAAAGATGCTGCAACCGCATCCTGTTTTACTACGGAAGCCCAGAGAGGCCAATGAGAAGAAACCTGGTGATCCGTGTTTTAAGTCTGATGTAAATAGTTTCTCTCCTGTGTTTATGACATGAGAGCAGGTGGAAACAAGCTTTTTACAGGATTAGATTTCCAAGTTCCTGAAAAAAAGAAATGTAGTCTGAGATACAGGTGGACAAAAAGGCCGTTTGTTGTTGTAATACTCATGTCGGCCACAAGAGGCTGATGTGCACCACTACCACAAAGTATTTATGTTTTCTTCCAGGTGAGTTTTAATTTACATAACTTTCTAAAACATAATGCATGTAGTTTGTGTTTGTGAGAAACTAAAACTCCTCTTAATGAAAACGTGAATGCTTTTAGTCTCATTTACAACATGGAAGTGTTTACGACATGAAAACGGATTATCCTTGAAAATTGCTTTGTTTTCATCTTTAAAAAACAAGGTAAAAACAAACTATAGTTTCTGCAGGTGAACAAGTGTTTGTTGTTGTAATATTCATTTCGGCCACAAGAGGTGGAAGTGCACCCGCACATTATGTCTTGAAAAGTCTTTGCACTCTGAACACAACGTAGATATATTGTGTGTTAGCAAGTTGTGTAACTTTACTTTTGTGTCTTTCTTTCTCAGGTAATCTGCCGAGAAAACACACCTTGTTTTTGGTCTTATTTAGAACGAGGTAGTGACACACTTCAGCCTCTTGTGGCCGAAATGAGAATTACAACAACAAAAGAAAACTGTCAAAGATTTTTTTTTCACGTGCAAAAACTCTTTTACAGATGATTTTGAAAAAGTAAATTTAGATCAGTCTTACAAAATGGATAACCAGAACTACTTCTGTCATTTTTTCCTCTCAGGGCTTCCGTAGGATTCAGGTGGAAACTTGTCTTCCATACAGAAGTTTCACTTCAATAAAAAAAACATAGGCGCACTAACCTCCTGTCTGGACTCCTGCAGTTGTTGCTCCAGCTCCGTCAGCCGGCCTTTGAGCTCATCGAGCCGAGCGAGGACTCGAACCCGCTCGTCCTCCAGGTAGTTCAGCTCCAGCCGACCGGCGCCGCCCGAACCCGACGAGTCCTCGTGCTGCAGGAGGGAGAACGTAGGAGGTGAAGAAGAGAAGAGAGTGTTCTTTGTGGAGCGGTGAACATATTTAAAGTCTCGCTGTACGGAGACATTCTCACTGTTTACACACCAAGTATTCATCCATTTATTCTCTGATTACTGCTGTTAAACCTGCACAAACCAAACTGCGGGAGGTTAAACCTGATCTGATATGAAGAGATGTTCAGGTGCTGATACACATTCTCCTGACGGTCCCTGAACCTCACTTTAAGCAGCACTGATTCAGCAAAGCACAGTCATATATCTGCACATGCTGGTTTCCACGGCGGCATGCAGAGCGTGACCTCTGACCTGTCCGTCTCCGTTGTGCGCTGCCGGCGGCGGCGTGCCGAGAGCGGGCGGCGTCCTCACCTCCTGATGGGTGCTCTCCGTGCTGCTGCACTCCTCCTTCAGGTTCTCCTCGTCGCTCTCCCTCTGCCTCTGCAGGAGGCGCAGAGCGGCCGCCGAGGAGGACGACACCATCGTTGTCCCCCCTGGGACGTTCTCCGGGGACGGTCTCCGGCACGAGCCGTCCACCGATCCCCCACCAGGGAAACCCGTCCTCCCCGAGACCAGCGGGTCCAGACCCGAGGTCTCGCCTTTGTTGTACTCGGCGCAGAGGTTGAGGATGGTCTCCAGTCGCTGTCGCTCCTGAGGACGAAACAAAGTTTAAATTAATAAAACCAGAAGTGTCTATAAGATCCGGAGTTAACGGTTCTGCTGTCGGTACTTCAGAAGTTACGGAGTCACAAATGCAAAACCCCGTCCATCCTTGTCCACTGGAGGCAACGTTAGTGATCAACCGTGTAGCCCCGCCCCTAAAGCATGGTCTGTTTGACTCTAAATGGACCATAATGTACTAAATGAACATCATGCTGTATTGAAGAAGACTTGAAACTAGAGATTGAGACCATAAACTCATGTTTACAATGTTTACTGAGGTAATAAATCAAGAGAGAAGTAGAGTCATTTTCTCATAGACTTCTATACAACCAGAGGAGTCGCCCCCTGGTGGACATTAGAGAGAATGCAGCTTTGAAACCAACCAGCCTGATGAGAGACGAGAGTAATTCTCTCCCCCCTGAAAACAACACAGCGTCTCACTCTGTCCTCTCCCCGACTATGTGACTGGTAGTCCAGCTGTCACTATGGGGGGAGTCAGCCCACCTACATGGGGGGGGGGGGGGCCTGGCAGACCTGGACCAACATGGTGGCCTCTGGACTCTAAATGTCAGCTGCTGTCTGCTGTAGACTCGGCGTCTCTGAGGTCTGCAGAGCCTCACAGACTGAGAGTGTTCACTCTCATAAAAAATAACTTGAGTTTCAAACAGAGAGCATGATGGGAGGTCAGAAGACCATGAAGTGAAACATCCACGCGTTTGAGTCAGGGACATCTGTGACGACATTCAGACACAAAAGCAAGCATTTCTACGGCGTCAGTTTAGAGAAAAAGGGTTCAGAGACTCAGATGTTTCTCACTTTATCATCTCAGAATATTTAAGGTTTTTGTTTTGTAAATGTACCATTTTAATCTCAGAGATGTTTTTTTCTTGTAAATTCAGAGTCTTTTCTCCTAATCATATTTATTCATATTTCTCCTCGTAGTTCACTTCCTGTGACCACATTATTAAATAGTGTTAATGAACTGAATAAACTAGATTCTTTAGCTTTATGTCGGCTCATTAATTCAAACAAACTGAACACTCACACGACCGGCAGTTTAAACTGAGAAACAAGAGAAACTCTCCTCGGAACAATAAAGTAATAATCTGTGCTCGTTAAAGGACAGAGCTCTTCTTCTTGTCGCTCTACTTTAATCCGTTTCCTGTCGCAGTAGAAACATTCTCAGCTAAATGTTTCTCACCCACAGATGTAAATGAAGCTCCGCTGTGTCGGGCTGTAATCTGGGACCAGTCAGCAGTTCACTGGGTTCAAAGTGGAGTAAAGACCTCCTGTGGGCCGTGGAGGAGTCAGACATTAACTCCACATCTGCATGAACGCACACAGAATAAAGCTCAGAGATCTGACTCATTGTATACAGTATATCAAACTGTTTAAACGATGCTTCTTAAATCAACTGCCTGCTGACTGATCCGAAGCGTCTGTTAAAAGTGTTTTAGCTCCGGAGGCAACGACGACCTCCGAACATTAAAAGAGTTTAAAAATCCCACAAACAAAAACACAGAAATATGTTTCAGTGTTCAGCTCCGTGTGCAGAAGGTTTCAGTTTGAATAGTTTAACACAAAGACAGCTTCTCTGCTCTTTACCTGGTGGATGACGAAGAATGTTTCCTAAAATATAACAAATAACTTTTAAATTAAGCTAATAATAAAAAAACTGTTTCCAACTAGAAAAGTTGCAACTTTTATCCTAAATTCTGTCTTCAATAAAGAATAAAACCTTTACTCACTCTCATGATGGACGCTGTGACACGTTACAACTGTGACCGTGAAATGAGGCAAACGTTGAAGACCGATGAACAAACACTGCCCCCCCCCCCCCCCCCCCCCCCCCCAACAGGGTGGTAATGACAGAGCTCCACAGCAACATTCACTTCTCTCCTGTTTAGAGAAGCTTCTCACGCTGATCAAACATGATGCATTCAGGTTACGTCTCAATAGTTGGAGAAATTAGTTCCCTGGCTGGGAAAATTGACGAGAGCGGAAACTCCACAAAAAAACAATTTGAAGGAAACGTGAGGAAAGAAAGTAAATGTTGAAACTAGATTAGTTGGAGAAGTTATTTACAGAGAGCTGAAGGGATGAACTATGTCTGGAGTCCAACAGGAAGTCGTCATCACTGGTTCCCTCCACAGACGGCCAATGAGATGCTTCCATTACATTCTGATTCTTCCAGGTTTTAGTTCATCAATGAAGATGTTTGAAGTAAAAAGCTAAGGAGGGAACAGGAAGTGGACAAATGCTGACTCATTCCTCTGGAACTCTATCAGAATTAACCCTGATAAATGAAGAGCACCTGAAGCACCTGAACGCACCACAACTACCAAAGAATAATGGTTACAACAGAGTAAATGACGGCCACGTGGCAAACTACATTACATCTTAATTAAGACTAAAACATCAAGCATTTTAGAGACATGCAAAGTCTTTTCATAGCAATAAAAGCTCAGTTTCTACGAGTGTTGACCTGATACATGAAGGAAGCTGATCTCATCTGTGAACAGTTGAAACATCGTCTGAGAGCTCAGCTCTCTCTCTCTCTCTCACACACACACACACACACACTTTAAACTGCACCAGATGAACAACTATCGATTCATATTTGTGTCTCCTAGAAGTGGTTCTTCTCATAACGAACTTCCTCTATTGTCTGAGAAGACGACTAGTCAGCAGTAAAGCTGCAACGTTCACAGCTGAGACCTCCAGACAACCAGCAGTGTGTGAGGAATGTCTGGGTCACATTCCTCACCCCTCACCTACTGGGAGGCTGCCACAGATAGAGAGAAGAAGAAGATGAATCCTCCCCACAGATAGAGAGAAGAAGATGAATCCTCCCCACAGATAAAGAGAGAAGAAGAAGATGAATCCTCCCCACAGATAAAGAGAGAAGAAGAAGATGAATCCTCCCCACAGATAAAGAAAAAACATTTCCTACAATAACTTTGCAGCCATTAGCAATAAAGACATTCATTCACTCTAACGTGACGTCAGCCCCCCCCCCCTTACCTTTGAGCAGAGTGGTGTACTTTAAGCCGTGTTTCACCTTCATCACAGAGTCTTTACAGTCGTAGTATTTCCAGAGCAAACCGGGAGAAAAGTTCAACAAAGCCTTATTCTCAACATACATCTGCAGGGACGGGGGGGACAGTCTGCAAAACAAACCCTTTCATGATGAAGGCCAGCATCCTTGGAGGGTTGGTGGTGTTCATGGTCCCAGAGGAGGAACAAACGCTGGATCCTAACAGCACACATGTCTGTGTCACTACTTCTTCTCTCTGTGGAGCATCAAAGGACGGATAACCTCTGGAAGGAGCAGCCGGTGGTCCTCCGTGTCTCCGTGTCTCTGCTGAACCCTGGAGGCGTTTCTCTCAAAGCGAGGACTGGGTTCCAATTATCACGTCAAACTCTTCCAGCGAAGAGACGAGAACATCAAAGATCCACAGATTAAAAGGTTCTTTTCTAACGTTCTCTAAACACTGCTGCTGATAATAAGCAGCCTCGTGGCTCCATCGCTGTTATTATGGGATGGAGGTGAAGTCTGCAACGGCTCACCTCCGTTGCATCAGCGCTGTCGAGTTTAAACAATTTGCTGTGCACAAAAGAGATTAGGAGATTGAATATTTGATATCTCTCCCCCCCAAAAATAACAGCTGATCAGCTGAACTGTAGACCCCTGAGAGAACAGCAGCAAACATCTGTCCAGATGTCAAACACCGAGGAAGCACTCAACACACAGGTTACTATGTACATTATTAGGTTTCTTATTAGAAATAGACAACTTAAAATATGCAAACATCACCTGAATAAAACTAGTTTTAACATTGCCAAAAAAGGTTTTGCACATGTTGAATTATATGATGGAACTCTGACGCATTGAAACAGTTTATGTAAAGAAAAACTATTTTTCTAATCGGTTTTAAGTCATTTATCAATAAACTAACCGCCTACAGCCGACCCAGCATGCTAACGCGTCCGTGTTCAGCAGGTAGAGAAGAAACTTTAGGACGGATGGAGAGAAGCCGAACCCTCGAACCAGGTCCTGTGAGAGGAGGGGAGGAGTCTAGGGGGCGGAGTTAGAGATGGTAATATTCGGAGACTTCCTCGAGTGGGAGGCGGCCTGCTGGTTGGGTTATACTTACAGCACCGCCTACTCTTTACTTTTGTTTCCAACACTATGAACTGATGCTTCTTTGTTTGTTTGTTGTGCTGCTGTGAGCTAAACTAAATACACAATGTAGAACTACAGGACAATCAGCTACACACACACACTTCACAATGAGGCCTCTCACACAACCTCTCCGTCCTGCAGCAGAAGCCTCACACTCACTCAGTAAACATTGCAACATGATGAGGGCCGTGAGTGATGAACTCTCTCTGAATGGACTGAGTCGTAGTTCTAACTGAGATAAAGTCCACTGCTCTCCAGCCTCTAAACTACTCAACATTTGTACTGTGGACCAGTTTCTACACCAGCGCCCCCGATGGAGGAAAACATTAGCAGAAACAAACGGGTATTTAATAGAAATATGTGCTGCTTTTTATTTTCCCTTATTGCATTTTAATATTTGTACTGATTTGTTTTCATGGTTTATATTTGACTTTAGTTTCTCCTGCTCTAGTTATGTTTTCACTTCTTATGTTTTGTTTCGTCTGTCACAGAACTTTGTAAACTCGGTTTGTAAATAAAGTTCATATTATTATATAAGAGGAATAAATCAGAGATTTAAAGACATTTTAATCATTGTTTTCAGGCTTTCAGGGAGCCTCAAGCGTTTGAATTGTTTGTGCTATTAATGAGACGAATATTCTTAATATTGTTAAGAATATTTCGGTTCGCTCTCAGAGATTATGAAAGAATGAAAAGATGCATTTAAATATAAGAGATGCAACAATTAGTCAATTAATTGATGAGTCGATGCACATAAAATGAATCTTCACCTATTTTGATGATCAATAAGTCATATTCTAACATTCTCTTTGTCTGATGTGATAATTAATTAAAATATTCTGAAATAAACAAAACATTCAAACTCATTTTTTCCCCAATTTTTACCGACCGAACGCTCAATTTATCAAGAAAACCAATAATATATAATTAGACAAAATAATGTTTTTGCACTTAATGCTGCCATTGTAATGGTGAGCACGCAGTGGTAATATTTAACTTTAAATAAATAAATAGGACATTATCAATCAGTCCTAAACATTCAGACAGAAGGAACAGCTCAGAGTGAAATAACAAACAAATGTTGCAGCTCAGCTCGTTATTATAAAATATTGTTTTCATGTCGCTCGGAGCATTGAACAGTGAGGCCACGCCCTCTAGTGGACAGAACGAGGCCCTGCAGGCTTACAGTGAGAGAAGAACTCCTCAGCTGCTTATTACAACAGTATGGAGAGAAGAAGAAGCTGCATCAGTGACATGAAGCGTCCGAATCTGTCGGTGCCGTCTAAAGACTGGACTCCTGGACGGGAAGAGAAACGGACTTATTGTCTGTTAAACTGTTAAACTATAGATGTGAGCCTCGTGATGACGTGCAGGTTGATCCTGGAGTCTGAACAGTCGTTGCTTTCTTTATTACTTCTGCAGAAAGTCACATTCAGCTGTGTGCAGAAGCTCAGCAGCAGTAAAGTGTGCCGGCAGTGGGTTTGTGCAGCGCGGTGCGTCAGTGGAGCGGCAGTAGAGGTGCTGGTTTTACACATGTTCTGACGGGGTGACGGGGGGGTCACGGCGTGCCGTCTGCAGAAAGAGAGACGTTTCTAACGAGTCACGCACACTCTGTGACTTCCTGCTGGGATGGAAGAATGACACAAAGAGTCACGAGGAGAGAGAGAACGAGAGAGATGACGGTTGAACTTCCTTTTAAAATCTCCAGTGAATCAAACGTCTGTTCAAGGCAAAGATTGCAGACATTATAGATTATAGATCGATCTGAGAGACTTTCTGGGGACTTTGTCCTTTTCCGATGCGAGCGTCCAGAGACAGAGGACGTCTTATGTTTGTGATACAAAATTAAATTCAATAGAAATGAATTGAATCTTCAGAACCCCTGATATTTTGAGGGTAATTCCACAACGACAAAGTCCAGAGAGACTGGACTGTCCGGGGGAAACCCTCGTGTAGAGTTCTATTAAAGATGCATTGAACCAGCGGTCACGCTAACAGTGCTTTAGGTCATTTAAAGACGTGGAGGATCTCCTCCCAGTGAACAGTCTGCTGAGTCCAGTGAGACAGCAGAGAAGAGGAGACTCGGCATCACAACGGACACGAGCAGTCAGCTGTCAGAGGCAAATATGAGGAGAAGAAATCATATTTATGAACCTTCTTTGTGTGCGTTGACATGATCAGAGTTCACGGTCTGACGTGTCTGTCCTTTCTTTACATGCATCATCTATAAGCTTGTTCTCTATACTAATGACTAAACACACAAACTAAATGTGATAAAAAGTGAGGAGAAATTCTCTGAATATGAATCACAGACTCCACCTTCACGTACGACTGTAGCCTCCGTCTATTTTATTTTATTATAATAAAAGCACTAAAACGACGGGTAACAACCGCTGCATTAACCATCACCACGCTATCGACTCAAGCTACTCAGAGCTGAACTCAAACAGTTCTTCACAATGTGTTCACAATGTGTGAAATAAACTCAACAGTTGTGTTCAAGCTTCTTTAAGAGAAGCGTCTTCTGACCAACACCAGCCTGCTCACAGAGCAACGCTGTCATCCTGATGAGGTCGTCTTCATCGGAACGTTGAGCCGGTCCACCAGACAGACGACGCTC